TATCTGTCTAGCATGTTCTACCATATCTTTTTTTAATTTTACCATTTTAATTAATTTTGTCACCTCCAGCTCCTGTAGTGGTTGCAGTGACTGTGAATGGATCTGGTTATGCCTCGGATATCTTTAGGGACATCGCAGCCTCATTTGACGTCCTGCAGAAAGGAAACATGACTGTGCTTAGCAAGAAATGTCTCATGAAGCCTTTGGAGCCAGATTACATGAGATACCTGCTCATTGGTACAACTACAATACCAGTACAATTAGACATTTGTACAAAAAAATGAAAAACATCCAACTGTCAGTCTAATGACTCCTGGTGGTCACGACTGGAACAACAGATGGAACGTACTACAATCAAACCACAGCCACAACCACAAATACTAACACAAATGACCTAATGATATCTTTGTCAATTCGAAGTGTATTTAAGATAATTATACTGAAACTTTAACTAGAATGCAACTTCTGTTATTGTACAACTGTGCTAGTCATCACAACTCAGTGATAGTAAAAAATATTAGATATATGCAAAAATGTAACTTTTATTTGGTTATATGTCTGACCTTTGTCTTCCCTCCCTCCAAACAAAGGTCTTCTTTATGGCTTCACTCTGTTTATTGTGATTGCCGGTGGCTACGCCAAACGTTTACAGAGATTTGTGTGTGCCAGGTACCATCCTGAAAGAGAGAAAGTAAGAAAACAAAAGATTCACCCCCCACCCCCACCCCTAAATATAAAGCATTTTATCAATTATTTACTATGCTGGTCACCTTGAGACTTTTTTAATGCTTGTAAAATTTGATCTATAAAGAATTATGTCTCATGGAGGAGAAACACTTATGTGTACAGGTCTGGTTGTAAAAAGACAATGACTGAGCTCATTTATTTTCAGTTTGCTTTAATTATGAATTTATTATCCATATTAATTCAATTCTTAAAGTAACAGAAACTTAGTGTATACTAACTGTGTGCATGTTGCAGAAGAGAATCCAGTACCTCCACAGGCATATTCTCACTCAGCGCGGGTCTTTAGGAAAAGCCCTACTGAGGGCTGTACAACGAAACAGTATAGACCAGCAACATGATGGCATTATACTAACATTGGCCAAACGGTGAGTATAAACCACTATAAAAATCACTGTAACACACTGACTT